AACATAGAGCATGTATGACACATAGCACAAAATAAGATGACAACTGGGAATTCCCTGGTAGTCCAGTGGTTAGGACACTGAGCTTTCACTGCTGTGGCCTGGGTTTGATCCCTGATCGGGGAACTAAGATCCCACAAGCCACATGGCATGGCTATAAAAAAGATGACAACTATAAATCCAAATAAATGTTAATGAACTAAGTGTTTCAGTTAAAAGAAATTGTGCTAGATTGGTTTTCAAAAGGGAAAAATGCTATTTATAAAAGATATGTCTAAAAGAAAAGGATACAGAAAGTGTGAAAGTAAAAATGTGAGAAAAGACATGCTAGACAAATACTAAGCCAAAACTGTTAACATCAGACAAAATAGACTTTACAGTAATGTCACTACTAGAGATCAAGAGAATGACATCATAGAGAAAAAGGCTCAGTATGTCAGGAAAATAAAGCAGTTTTAAGTTTGTGTTCATCTAATAATATAGTCTCAATATCTTTAAAGCAAAAATTAATAAAACTTTAAGAGGAAATCTCCAACCCGTCATCGAAGTGGTAGATTTTAATATATCCTTCAGTAATTGATAGAACAAGAAAGGAGGGAAAAAATATAGAAGATTGAATATGTGTTTAACAAACGACCTAATAGATACATACAGAACATTGTACCCAACAACTGCAAAATACACATTATTTTCAAGCCAAACATGGAAAAGTTATGAAAACTGACGATTTACTGGGCTGTAAAGCAAAACTTAAATTTTGAAAAAGTTTTGAAACAGTACAGAATGCTTGAAGCACAGTGCAATTAAGCTAGCAACCAGTAACAAGGTAACTTTAGAATATAAATATATATATATATACATATATATATAAAACATATGTTTGAGCATTAAACACATTACTGAATGATCTATGGGTTAAAGAAGAAGAAATCATAATGGAAATAAGAATGCATTTAAAACTGAGTGATAGCGCAGATGGTGCATACTACAACTTGTAGCTATACTGAAAATAAGTCATCACTGAAAAAAATTAAAATACCTAAGTAAGTGGGAAGGCACCCTCTGAATAAGTGGATTGGAGGCCAAGATTGTTAAGATGGCAATACTCCCTAAAAGGATCTACAGATTCAGTGTACTCCCTATCAAAATACCAATTTGCTTTTTTGCAGAAATTGATAAGATGGTCCTGAAGTATATATGAAAATGCAAGGGATCCAGCATAGCCAAAAAAATCTTGAAAAAAAAAGTTGGAGGACTCATACTTCCCAATTTCAAAACTTAGTACAGAGCTACAGTAATCAAGAGACTGGTACTGGCATAAGGATAGACAGGTAGATCAACAACAGAATTGAGAGTCCAAAAAATAAACCTACAAATTTGTGTTCAAGGATGCCAAGGAACATCAATGGGGAAAGAACAGTCTCCAATAAATTGTGCAGGGACAACTGGACATCCACATGCAACAAAATGAAGTTGGACCCCTACTTCACATCATACACAAAAATTTACTCAAAATGAACCACAGACCTAAATGTAAGAACTAAAACTACAAAACTCTTAGATGAAAACATTGGCATAAATCTTTACGACCTTGAATTAGGCAGTGGTTTCTTAGATATAATGCCAAAAGCACAAGTAATAAAAAAAATAATGTAAATTGGACTTGATCAAAATTAAAACTTTTTGTGCTTCAGATACTATCAAGAAAGTGAAGACAACAGAATGGAGAATACATTTGTAAGTCATTTATCTGATACAGCGTCTGGTATCCAGAATATGTAAAGACTGCTTACAACTCAATAATAGAAAGGCAAATAGCCCAATTAAAAAATGCACAAGGGATATGAATAGACGTTTCTCCTGTGAAGTTATATGAGTGGCCAATAAACACATGAAAAAATGCTGGATGGCATTAGTTATCAGAGAACTGCAAATCATAACCACAATGAGATGCTATTTCACACCCACTAGGGTGGCTATAATCAAAAAGCACAGGTATGACAAGTATTGAAAGGATATGGAGAAATTTGAAACCTTGTTTTGCTGGTGGGAATATAAAATTATGTAGTCACTGTGGAAAACAGTTTGGTAGTTCCTCAAAATGTCAAACAGAGAACCATAAGACCAAGCAATTCCACTCCTAGAGAATTGAAGACATCCATATAAAAACTTGTTACAGGAATGTTCGTAGCAGCATTTTTCATAAAGCCGAAGAGTGGAAACAACCCAAATCCATCAACAGATCAGTGGATAAACAAAATGTGATATATCCATATAATAGAATATTTTTCAACCATAATATAGAACGAAGTTCTGATTTGATAACATGGATGAGTTTTTTTGTTTTTTGTATTTAGATATTTATTTATTTATTTGGCTGCACTGGGTCTTAGTTGAGACATGTGGGATCTTCGTTGGGATCCTTAGTTGAGGCATGTGGGCTCTTAGTTGTGGAATGTGGGATATAGGTCCCTGACCAGGGATCAAACCTGGGCCCCCTGCATTAGGAGCATGGAGTCTTAGTCACTGGACCACTAGGGAAGTCCCCGTGGATGAGCCTTGAAAGAAGCCAGCCACAAAAGATCATGTGTTATTTGGTTCCATTTACATGAAATGTGCAGAAGAGGCAAAATAGAGACAGAAAATAGATTAGTGGTTGCCAGGGTGTGGGAGGAAGAGAATGGAGAGTGACTGCTAATGGGTATGGATTTTCTTTTAAGGTGATAAAAATGTTCTGGAGGGGCTTCCCTGGTGGCGCAGTGGTTGAGACTCCGCCTGCCGATGCAGGGGACACGGGTTCGTGCCCCGGTCCGGGAAGATCCCACATGCCGTGGAGCGGCTGGGCCCGTGGGCCATGGCCGCTGAGCCTGCGCGTCCGGAGCCTGTGCTCCGCAACGGATGTTCTGGAGTTGGTAGTGGTGAATGTTGTGCAACTTTGTGAATATATGAAAAACCACTGAGTTGTAAAGAAAGAAACTTGTCAGATACAGCTAAAGTACCTCGAAGGAAATGAGTAGCATTTAAATCAAGTTTGAAAAAGAACTTTCAAAACTAAACTGAACTGTACAATTTAAAATGGTTAATTTCAAAACTAAAACTAACACGTACTTATTGTTTACAAATAATAATTATACAGAGATGCATCACAAGAGAAATGGAAGCCACCTTTCATTCCTTCCTCTCCTTGTATAGTCCCTGTTAAGAATTTCCCGGATTGTGTGTGTGTGTGTGTGTTTGTATTGTGTATACTTTTACAATTAGAAGAGAAAAATGAAAAGTCACTTATATCTTGATTGCAAAAAGGTTGAGAACTTAGGTAGAACAGTGAACAGTAGAACTTGGAGTTGAAGAGAGCTAGGTTCTAACTCCGCCTCTGCCACTCTGGCTTTAGGCAGACCTCTTAACAACCCTGTCCAAGACTTCTCAGTTCACAGGGGAAGGGTCTGCACTGCTAGGTTATCTCTGAAGGCTTTTCCAGCTCCAGGTGCCAGTGCGGTGTAGGAATTCATTTGCTTTCCCAGCACCAAATGGTTAAATGCCAGGAGGGGATGGTAGAATGTTGTGACTAAAAATGTTTGATTTTGGTGAGATACAAGAAGGTTGTTTCTCTGAAAATAGAGTCTTTTAAATTGTAATTGTTGTCAGCAATAGAACTCCCACTCAGATGGTTAGAATTCTGTGGGACTCAAAATAATGGGTTGATTGGTATGCCTCTCTGGCACAACAGTATTTTACCTTGTAGTCACCTTCTTACTAGTTTTTGCCTTCTAATTTTATATAAGTAAACAGGCAGTCCTAGAGAAAAAAAGCAACACTGAGTATTTATGAAAAGAGGAATTTAATTCAAATTCTGAAAACTCATATGATTGTATAGCTTGGCATAAGACTTGCATATATAATAAATATTTTCCTTCAGGTAACAGCTGCTTACGAAAATAGTCATCTGTCTGTGTGTTTGCTTGGTCAGGAGACAAATATAGCAAATCCCCAATGTACAGAATAGCTATGTTCTAAATTTACCTTTAGCATTTGCAATACACTTTCTCATAGATACTAAGTTTATTTGTAGGTGGACACAGTCATACATTTATTAACAAGTTCAGGGCTTATGCTATGCCAGGCTCTCTGCTGGGTTTCCAGACTAGTCCATAAAAAAAAATTTTTTTTGACACATAAAGTAGGTCCCATATTACTATATTGCCTTTATTTTAAAGCTAATTTTTAGTTCTATATTAGTACATTTTTAAGTTTTAATTACAACGCTTGTTAAGTATGGACTCTGGAGCCAGACGGACTACGTTCAAATACTGATTCTGCCACCCGCAAAGTGTATGACTTGAGAAAAGTTGCAAAACCTCTTAGTATCTTTTTCCTCATCTATAAAATGGAGAGAATAATAGTACTTACCTCATATGGTTGTTGTGAGGATTACATTTTTTTTAAAAATTGAGATGTAACTCACATAACACAATTAACCATTTTAAATTGTACAGTTCAGTGGTATTTAGTCTGTTCACAATGTTGTGCAACCATTACCTCTATCTCATTACAAAGCGTTTTGAATAGATAAACAAAATGTCATATTATACATACAAGGGAATTTTACTCGGCCATAAAAAAGAAAGAAGAACTGATACACACTACAAAGTGGATAAGCTTTGAAAACACTGTGCCGAGTGAAAGAAGCCAGATACAAGAGGTCACATCTTGCACGATTGTTTTTATATGAAATGTCCAGAATATGTACATCTGTAGAGACAAAAAGCAGATTAGTGGTTGTCAGGGCTGAGTGGAGGGGGAAGTGGGGCATATGCCTGCTTAACAGGCACAGGGTTGTCTTCGGGGTGATGAAAATATTCTGGAACGTGATACAAGTGGTGGTTACACAATATTATGAATGTACTTACTAAATGTCACTGAATGGTGTACTTTCAAGTGGTCGATTTTATGTTATGGGAATTCCACTTCAGTTAAAAAAATAATAATAACAAAGCCCCTTGATCACTTAGACTCGCAAAAAAAATCCTCTCAATGAACACCAAGGAGGCTGCTTAACCCTATGGGTTTCTACTCTTCTTTGTGGCCCCAAGGAGGTTCAGCTAATCATTTAAAGGGTACGTGTTATATTTTATTTTAAAAATTTTTAAATATTTTATATTTTGGTTGACAGTTCTAGGTATTTTGTAGTGTGTGGTGTATGCCAGCCTATTGCTGGCAGTGGAAACCCCCATTTCACCCTTACATCTTTAACTCTCACATTTAAACTTAGGTTTTTTGCCAAAACCTAGAATAAATTCATGTGTGTATGTGTATATCCTCTTCTTAAATAGGGTAAAACTAGTAAGCTTTTTATTTCCTTGCCACTGCGCGCCCCTCCCCCTGCCTGTACTTGTTTACTGCTGGCGGCTTCCAGGAATTGTGGTATAAAGGTGGCATGCGTTCTGGCAAGGTGTGACAGTGGCTAGGTCTCAGCGTTTCTGCTCACCTCCGGCAAGTTCAGGTTTCCATATTCACAGTCACTGCCTGGGATGGGGACTGCCTGGCTGTGGTTGTCACGGTACCAGCTAGTCAACCGGAAAGTCACGCCAGAGCTCCCTTCTGCTTCCCCGGGCTGGTCCCCACCATTTGTAGTAATCCTGTTTTATTAGTTTTCTATTGCTGTTGTAACAGGTTACCAGATTGAATGGTTTAAAACAACACAAGTTTAATATCCGTAGGTCAGAAGTCTGATGTACAGCTCACTGAGCTAAAATTAAGGTGTCAACTGGGTCATGTTCCTTTCTGGAGGCCCTTACGAGAAAATCCATTTCCTTTTTCTGGCTTCTAGAGGCTGCCCACATTCCTTGGCTAGTGGCCCCTTTGTCCATCTTAAAGCCAGCCATGATGGGTTGAGTCCTCCGTTGCCTCACTCCCACCTACTCTTCCACTTTTTTTTTTTTTTTTTTTTCGG